ATATATTTTCCCCAAGATTTCCCGTTCGCCATGGCCTCATCGTCCGCCGCCGCTCTTGAGATTATCGACGACGACGATGTAAACTGTTTCTTGAAACCCTGATTCTTTCTTCTCCAAACACTTCAATTTCTATCTCTAAATCTTACTTTTTCATTATTCAGGAATTTGACTGGGACGCAGCTGTGAGAGAGATCGATGTGGCTTGTGAGGCCAATGGCCTCGCCCTTCCCGTCAATGGGACACTCGCTTCGTCTTCTGATGGAGTTGCGACATCGACTTCTACTTCCATCCCAAATAGGAAAACGCTCAAAACCCCTAATGGTGGTGGCCTTGCGTCTGGGAAGCAGTCGACTCTTGATATATTTATGGGATTTCCGCCTAAGGCTAAGAATGCCGAAACCGAACCCCACAATCCAAACGGCGTTGGAGTCAGAAAGGAGGAGTTTGGTAATGAGGGGGATGACAGGGTTTGCTTCGTTCCACTTGATTTGGAGGCAGCCAAAACTTGGATTTATCCAGGTTCTTTGCTCTTTTTATTAGTCCGTTTTCTATTCTTTAATTATGCTGTCGAATTGTGCCTCATAATCTTGAGTTACAACAAAAACCTCAAGATTGCCACTGTCTGCCCTCCACGGTCTGCTCAGTCCCATATCCACATGGATGTTGTATAAGTACTTTTACGATGATATACATGTGACCCCCTTCGGACTGATGTACATTTCTGCTCACTTTGTTTCATCCTTCTATCGACCACAACATTTGGATTGCACCATTAGAGAACAAGAGTAATGTCACACTAAGTGTTTGCATTTAATTAATTTGGTTTGGGATATGCATCACTTATGAATTTGATGTTACTCATTTCTTGAATAACTGTACTATTTCTTTTTTTATGACCAATAACTGCACTATTTCTTATGTGCTTATAATAAAATTTTATTCATAATTCATTTTATTGCAGCAAATCTTCCCCGTCGGGATTATCAATTCGAAATCACGAGGACTGCACTATATTCCAATACCTTAGTGGCATTACCTACTGGGCTTGGAAAAACATTCATCGCTGCCGTTGTAATGTATAATTATTTTAAGTGGTTTCCAGAAGGTACTGCATCACTTT